TGGCCTTGGCGAAACCCTGAGGCTTCCGAAAACACCCATTATCGAAAAGGCGAATGAAGCGAGGGTTTCGCTTGTTTTATAGATCTCAGAGAATATTCATGGGGTCATTTTATGGAGTTGTGTATCGATTAATATTTCGAAAGCAATTTCAGTGCCGCATAAATACCCTTTAATAGTGTGCTTCCCTTTTTCATATTTTCTCCGCATAATCATCACGTCTTTTCTTCAGCTTTTGTCTGCGTTACGCTTTTTCATTCGTTTTCCTAGGTTCTTTTTTACTCACTTACTTCTTCTTTTGATCATCACCTCCTTCCCCTTTCCAACTTTTACAGCTTCTCTTTTTCTATCATCTTTTCCTTTCACCCTTACTTTCTCTTCCTCTCAGCTTCCATCTTTTGCTGTTCTTCGCAGGCTTCTCGAAGGGACTCATCTATGTTTAGGCACCTAATAACTGAACGTGACCTGGCGCAAATAACCACAGTAACTTTGTTGGTGTTCATACAAGCGTAAGAGGTCATTAGCACGCGCGGACCATATTACCAAAAATGGTAACTGGTAATTATGCGCTCATTATGCGCATAGTTTTGCTGCTGCTGTATTTGACGGTCACACATTTTTTTCGTCTCAGCAAGGTTCCATTTTTCATGAATAAAATCTAGTTTCCATCTTATTCTTCAAATTAGGAGAGTAATAATTTGGCTTGGTAAATAGAGGGTTAAGATTTTTTCACAGAACTGCCGTTCTTCAATAAGCCCCATTTTCTTTGTGAAATATAATGAGCGGGCTGCATTTTGGCTCCACTGATGGAATAGGGGTGGTATTTGGTGTTGAGGAAAAATTTCTTTTGATTGTGGATAGTTTCCGGCTTTCAAACCGACTATCGACACCAAACTTGATTCTGAAGAACTTTAACAAGATGGGAGGTAAGTTTTGAATTCTTTCAGGCCCTCTTTCAGTGGCGCCATACTGAACTGACAGTGCTATATTTCACACATTTCGATGACGTCCCTGTCTCCACTTTATTCAGGGCTAAGTCTGGAGGAAATCGGCTTAGTAGGGAGGGGCCTTGACAGGACTGCTTGTGGAACACCATGTTATAATACTAAGGCTACTCCCACGTTTTTCACAACCATATTTGATCGTTAACCCACCATAGAGCTCCCTCCCTCTTAGTTCAGGCAAAAATCCTAACCCATTGCCCTAAGTTTTGCAAAGAGCCTTTTAAATGCTCCAGTACTAAGCCGACTCATGTAGCAAAGTTGTTCCGAATCATTGCTTGAGCCCGTGTTCGTTTATGAGCCCGGTTTCATGCCCTTTCAGGTAACAGTGGTACCAAAACGCCGATTTCTTGGCAAAGTATGGAACGGAACGTCCGCACTTTTTCAATGTTTTGGGTTGACCCTCCACATGTTTATTGAATTTCACTGCTGAAATCTAACTTTTGTGAATGCATCCGTTCCCACCAGCTTACGATGTTACCCAATATCATAGGCTACGTAACCCTAACAATGATTCCATCCCATCGGTCATCATTGAGGCTGATGGGCTTCGTAAACAAGATGCCCACATCCATTCTGATAGGCATCCTGGTCAAGGTTCTTGCTCCTTTCTTCTTATCTTTGTCACTTCGTTTGGTTTTTGGACATAATTGTTACTTTTTCTGCGTTAACTGCACCTTCTTGGTTGGTGAGCTCTAGATTCAGGGCAGATCGTTGTTGAGAATTCCCCAACAGGTCAGGGCTCGCATCTGCTCGTAGGAAGGTTGCTGACCTTCCGACTTTTCCTGGGTGCACTATACACTCCCCCCCACCCCTCCCCCGCTCGACAGCAAACTTTTGGGAAAAGTATGAAAATATTTGGGAATTCCTAAAAAGTAGTAGGAAGTTGGGAAAATCTGGGAAATGGTAGAGGGGGAGGGTCGTACTTGACAGTAAAAACTAGTAAAGGGGGGAGGAGGGTTGTGCACGACAGCTCATTGAGGAGAGAACCAGGGGAGTTATATGGACGCAACAAGAACCTCCAACCAGTGATATGCCTTGTCTACATTTCGAACTTACTCTAATCTTTCCGGTTGTATCATTACGAATCATTACTAGCACCCTGTCATGCTTCAGTAAATAAACAAAGCATCAGGATATCCTCCCATGTTTGGCTTTGCACTCGAAACGCGTCAAATTGTGTGCTGGCCAATCACTCGAACCATAAACTCGTTATGGCATCATAATCACCTAACCATCGCTTGTATAATTGTGTTATGTGGAATGTAGTGCCCTGGTTGCGCACAACAACCAGCCCATCGAGCTTCTTTTGCCAGCCGTTTCCAGTCATTCCGAATGTTTACCCCGATTTCCTAATAGGTGTGAAATAGGTACGTCCAGAACGTGAGCAGTTTACACCCCTCCTTACGATCTTTCTTTCTACTGTTCCTTTGTGGACAGAAAGCCTCATTGATTTCTGAAGACCAGCAGCCAGGACACATCGTTGTTGGAATTCCCCAACAGGGGGTCGTATTTGGTCGCTGAGTGAGGGGAGGGGTCGTATTTAAGCTGAGAGAATTATTTTGATAGATGATTTTTTTCCTGTTTCAGGGA